GCTCATTGCGGCTGCTGGCCGCTCACGCTGGCTGCTGGCCACGTACGGTAGCCCATGGCAACCCACTGCCACAGGGGCTGCAGCCTACACCGTCGCCGGCGACTCATGGCAGCTCCAGGTCGAGCTGTTGTTCAGCATCTCAGCTGTGGAGGGCAGTGTCACTGGCCCTCATATGTGGGATCCGAACCGGGGCCCTCTGGCATCCCAAGCGAGTTCTTAACCATCGCGCCACTCGGCCGGCCCTGATGAGAACTTTTAAGATCTACTCTCTTAACAATTTTCAAATATACAATACAGTGTTGTTAACTCGAATCACCATGCTGTACATTATACCCCCAGGACTTATTTATCTTATAACTGAAAGATATATCTTTTACCTTTTGACCACCTTCACCCATTTCTCCCATATTATTTTTAATTATGCAAAACTTTTTATATGTTTTTAAAGTTTATAGTAATAAGGTCCACTGACAGAAGTCTCACTTTCATTTCTATGCTCCTCAACCTGTTTCTTTCTTCTTCCTATATGAAACTACCATTTTTAGTTTTTCTTTTCAAGTTCCTTGTGTCTTTTTAAAAATGTAAGCAAATGTATATTCCTATTTTGTCTCAATATAAACACAGAAGGTAGGATGGTATAAATACTTCCTACAAGCATTTTTGTAGAAACTGACAAGTTGATCCTAAGATTTATAAGAAAATTCAAAGAATATAGAATAACCAAAACAATTTTAACGAACATAGTTGGTGGACTTTTTCTACTTAATTTCAATACTTACTATAAAGCTTACTTTATATGTCATATATTTATATATGTATATTACTTTGTTACTTGCTGTAGCAATTCAGGCTGTGGTGTTGTATAAGGATAGACATAGATCAGTGCAAAAGAATCAAGTCAAGAAATAGATCAAGTGATTTTTGACAAAGATGCCAAGGCAATTCAATGGGGAAAGGAAAGTCTTTTCAGTACTGTTGGTTCATATATATACCAGTTTCTCTCTCTCTCTCTCTCTTTCTTTCTCTTTCTTTCTCTCTCTCTCTCTTTCTTTCTTTCTTTCCTTTCTTTTCTTCCTTCCTTCCTTCCTTCTTTCCTTCCTTCCTTCCTTCCCTTTCCTTTCCTTTTTTTTTCTTTTCTTTTTAAATTATTCTTTGTTGTACCTCATACTTTTCTTTTAGAATTATTTTCCTCCTTGATGTAACACATCCTTCAGAAGCCCTTTACATGGGCTTTGTTTTCTTTGGGGTTCTTTGTGCTTCCTGTATCTGAAGTTTTGTGTGTTTTAATTCTGGAAAATTATCCACCATTATTTCTTTAAATAGTGCCTCTCCCACATTCTCTGTCTTCTTCTGGAACTCCAAGTAGACATAATTAGACCTTATTTTTTCTTCCTTGTTTTTTAACTAGCACTTCTTATTTATCTCTCCTCCTTGCTGCATCCTGGATCCTATATGCCATGGTAATTTATTCAGCTCTGTCTTCTAGGTTTATTCTCTTTTTATGTTGTATCTAACTTGCTGTTTAACCTGACAAATAAGTTTTTATTTCATTGATTTATTTATCATTTCTAGAAATTCGATTTTTTTTCTTAATCAAATCTGCCTCGTCATTTTTAGGGTATTGTGTATGTTCGTATTTTCTAGTTTTTAAATTTCTTTAAATATTTTAATCATAGTTATTTTGTATTCTTAATCTGATAACACCAACATCTGAAGAATTTGAAGAATGTCTAATACTGCTTTGGTTTTTTTTCAAAAATAATTTCTGTTTATTTTGCTCATAGTGGCTTCTTTCATCATGTGCTTTGTAATTTTGGAGTGTGTGCACTTCTTCAGATTGTGTGTGGGAATATTTCAAAACCTGAGGTGAGGGTGCTTTTTGCAGAGTATAAACGTTGCTTCTGCTAGATGCCTTATGACATTATCAACCTAGGTCCACTTTAAGTTAATTTCTTGGCTGTAGTTTACCATACCACGGAAAAAGTGTAAATTCGAAATCAAAACTTCCCTGAGGGCATGCCTGTGAAATTCTAGGGGATTTTTTTCCTACCTACAATGCAAACTGTGAAAAATAAGTTCTTTTGTTGTTTCTCTTCGTCGGCTGGCAGGTTTTGTTTTGTTTTCTTTTTGTAGTGTATTCATTCAAAATGTAATTCTTCAAGGATTTGCTTTAAGTGGGGGTTCTTAGGACCAACTTGCCACTTTACATGGGCTTGAAGGCTTTATCTCCTGTCCCTTGCTTGGTGGCTGAAAATCAAGCTTCTAGGTCTCTGATCTGGTGACTGCCTCAAGGGCAGATGTAGCTTCATCTTCTCCTTACTTCTCTGGGTTTCAAGTTCCTTTTTGGTTTTGGCCCCAAGAGATTTGCTTAAATCCTATGAACTTGGCTATAGTATAAATGGATAATTGTTATATTTTATCCAGTATATCTAGGTGTCAGAAGCACCCCACCCTCACCCCTGCTACATATGTGATCCAGAAGTAATTCTCCATTACTTGCTAACATGATGTAAAACAAAAACAACATAAAATACTAAGGCCCTTAAAATCTCTAAGTAACTCACCTGATTTACTGTTTTTAAAGATAGAGTGTTATATGTTACTGTCATCTGTCCATATCATTCAGAGTTATACTTTGTACGTTTACTTATTTCTATACTTTTTCATTTTTTCTTTGTTCTTATGAAAGTAATATTAACTGTACAATATTTGAAAAGGTAGAAAGTTATAAAGATTTAGGAAACAGCTGACCTGTAATCATCCCCCAGGGTAACAATTTAACATTTTAACATATTGACATCTAGGTTTTTGGCTTTCCTATATGGCATTTGAAATTGTCTTTCTTGATGAAAAACACTATTTTATTATGTTGACATATCTGCCTGTACATTACCTTGCTTTTAGCTTATTATAGTTTTTAACTATACTATTTGATTCAGCTACACAAATTGTTTACTCAAGAAGGTATTTCTTCCCCAACCCCCAGCACTAAACTCAAGGAAATAATTAAAAACTAGTGGTATCAGTTCATAAGTATAAAATTATTATTCTTGTCTCATATTGTTGAATGTCTCAAAAGTAAAGTTACCAGTCTACTATTCCTTCCACTATTTAATTTTGCAATTTTATGGTATAATATTAGGAGCACAAACATCTGGAGTCATACTGTGCAAGTTCCAATTCCGACTCTTAGCTTATGACCTTTAGCACAATAGTTAACCTCTCTACTTTAGTCCCTCCTCTAGATTGGGTTGAGGGTTAAATGAGTGACAAGTGCCTGACATATAGTAAGACCTCAATAAATGTAGGCTATTGGGTTTTTTAAAAGATTTTTATTAAACTATAGCTAACATACAATATTATATTTGTAGGCTGTTTAAAAGTATTTTTCTTTATGGTTTTAACTTCATATTTCTTAAGGAATAATGAGGCTTAAATATTTTTCCAACTGTTTTGGTTTTCTATTTATATTTTATCTCATGTGAACTGTCAAATAGCTTTTTCTTATTATAGAAGTTTCACTTTGGAAAGCAGTTGACATGCCAACATCAAAAGCACAACTGATAAAAGATTAATAAGTTAGACTTCATCAAAATTAAATCTTCTGTACTTCAAAGCACACCATCAAGAAAGTGAATAGACAGCCCACAGAGTGTGTAAAAAACATTTGAAAATTACGTATCTGATAAGGGATTCATAGCCAAAATGTATAAAGAACTCTTAAGAATTAATAATAAAAAGGCAACTAGATTTTTTAATGGGCAAAAGATTTGAATAGACAAAGATGATATACAAATGAACAATAAGCATGTGAAAACATGCTTGCTTGACACCATCATTAGAGAAATACAAATAAAAACCAGAATGAACTGCTTCATACCCACCAGAATGGCTGTAATAAAAAAGATAGACAATAACAAGCACTGTCAAGGATATGGAGAAATTGGAACCTTCATGCATTGCTGTTGGGATTGTAAAATGGTGCAGCTGCTTTGGAAAACAGTTTGGCAGTTCCTGAAAATGTTAAGCATAGAGTTGCTATAGGACCCAGCAATTCGATTGCTACATACATACTCAGGAGTAATGAAAACATTTGTCCACACAAAAACTTGTACATGAGTGTTCATAATAGCATTGTTCATAAAAGCAAAAAAGCAGAAGCAACTCAGATGTCCATCAACTGATAAACAAAATGTAGTCTGTCCATACAGTGGACTATCATTTGGTGGTAAGAAGGAATCTACAACATGGGCGAACCTTGAAAACGAGCTGAGTTGAAAGGGGGCAGTCACAAGTGACCCCATGTTGTATAGTATCATTTATATGAAATAGCCAGAATAGGCAAATCTATAGATATATAAAGTAGATTAGTGGTTGTCTAGGGTTGGGGTATGGAGGAGACAAAAATGGGTAGTGACTATTAATGGTTATAGGGTTTCTTTTTGGGTTGATGAAAATGTTCTAAAATTAGATTATAGTGATGGTTGCACAACTCGGTGAATATACTAAAAACTATTGTATTCTCTAAATGGGTGAACTTGATGGTATGTAAATTACATATCATTAATGCTGTTGGGCAAGGAAAGGTAAGGGGAAGGGAAAGGGGAAGCAACGAATGACAGGTTTGCCTCTCTTCCTGTCCTTTCATCTCCTGCCCAGATGTTGGTTAGGAGGAAGATACATCTGTCCCACATGGTGATTCCAGCTGTGTTAGAAAATTACATGCTTCAGCTTCATTGACATTTCATTTTGGTACGATGGCTGATCATTGAAGTCGAGATAGCTAGGTCCCATGTCCCCTATTAGCTGTGTGCTTCTTGCCCTGCTTCATTACTTTGTAATCGTTCCTCTAAACTTAGGATAATTCCTGCTTTTCTTACGTCAGAGGGTTGTTGTGAACTTCAAATGAAAGTGAGGTAGCACTTTGAAAGCTGTGTAGTCCTAAATAAATATAGAGTAGTGTTAAGATTCCTAAAGTTCTCTGTGTTTTCTTTCCATAGGAGTAAAACACAAATCTTTCCTAACAGTGGAGGACTGTTTTGAATTGGGCAAAGTGGCCTATACAGAAGCAGATTATTACCACACAGAACTGTGGATGGAGCAAGCACTAAGGCAGCTGGATGAAGGAGAGGCTTCTACCATTGATAAAGTCTCTGTTCTTGATTATTTGAGCTACGCGGTGTACCAGCAGGGGGACCTCGATAAGGCACTTTTGCTCACAAAGAAGCTTCTTGAACTAGGTACGTTAACTTGGCCTAATTCAAGGTTATTGGTCATATATATAAATATATGTGTGTGTGTGTGTGTGTGTGTGTGTGTGTGTGTGTGTGTATATGTATATATATGACTATATATCTCATCATATAGCTTTGGTACTTTTTTATTTGTTAGAAGTCATGTGCCTCATCTTTATCCTAAGTAAATGGCAACTGACTTTTATTACCTAAGAGTACTACAGCAGTGGTTGTGTTCCTCTGCTCTGTATTCTTCAAAATTGGACCTAACCCAGCTAACGCACTCAAAAAATGTTTGTTTACCATGTTACTATATTAAATATTAACCAGTTTCCTTTGAAGAATGTCATTGGTTTATTGCATTTCATACTAAAAAAATAGTGATTTGAAATAAATAGATTGAAAATATATTTGGGGGGCCGGCTGAGTGGCTCAGTTGGTTAAGAGCTCGCTCAAGAGTGTGAGCTCTGAGCAACAGCGGTTCAATTCCTGGCCCGAGCTGAGCTGCTGCTGAGCTGCCAACAGGTGGCAGGATAGCTCAGCTAAAATATATATATATATTTGTCATATTCAAATGTTAGAGAAGTGTACTATCTTATAAGGATTTTACCACTAGTGTTTTGAACAGAGATGCAGCGTTTCTTTAAGTACGATCCAGGGACCATGTGCACTTGGATTACTTATTAGAAATGAAAATTCCTTGATCTCCACCCCAGACCCATTAAATCAGAATCTCTGGAGGTGGCGTTGTATGCTTATAAATAAATTCAGGCGGCCTTTGGTATATATGAAGCTTTGCAACTTAAAAAAATTATTTTTATGAATAGGTAAATATGTGTATGTCAGATGAGCCAAACAGTTCAAAAGGATTAGTCAACTGAAAATGAACTTTTGATAATTAGGTTATTTCTTAGTTAAATGAATTAATAAGTTGAAATATTAGTTCAAGTACCCTTTTTTCTCCAATGTTTTTAGTGATTTTTTTTCTCTTGACCCCAAAAATATTTTGTAGAAAAATTTTAAAAATAGAAAAAACTATAGAAGAAATATCCATAGCTGCCACCCTAAGATACCCACCAGTTTTTTGTTTCCTTGTATGTTCGCCTTTTCCTTGCACACACACACTTTTCCCTTTCTTTTACAAAATCAGGCTCATATTGTATATCACAACATATATTGTGAATAGTTCTTCAAAGACAAGAAGTATTTTACAAATAAGGCTAGATTTCTTAAACATGTCAATCAATGCCACAAGTGAAGCTTCTACATACTGTTCTGCGTGTGTGTGTGTGTGTGTGTGTGTGTGTGTGTATGTATGTGTATGTGTATGGGTGGTTGTTTGGTTTTTTTTCTCCCAGATGGGTGGAGTAGTCCTCTTTTTCCCTACTAAGAGATAGCTAAAAATCATGACTAGCAATTCAGAGGTAATTAGTGGACTCTGGCTTATTGCAAGATTATATCTTTAGCTTTCTCTTTTCTGTCTCACTTAGAACTTTGGGGCTGAAATCCACTCAGCCCTCAGCAGCAGGCTGTGTTCTGCATTTATAATGTATCTGTGGTAAAGGTTGCTTTTGAACTGTATACCATGTCTTCTCCATGGTGATTACATTCCAGTTTCAGAAAAATCTTTCCCATTGCTTAAAATAAGTAGAATGAGTAAGTAGTATTTTAAAAATTCATTTCATCAAATTGATCATACACAGTTCCTTTGGCTGAATAGTAAGTTCTCAAAGTAGAAGCAATAATTATTACTTTGAAATAAATGGCTGGTTCTGTCTCCAGAACTCTTTTTATGTAGGGTGACTGTATGTCCTGGGGCAGTACTCATTTACACCTATTGTTTTGGTCTCATAATTTTTATTAGTGCCTCCTTTCATTCTCAGAAACATCCTGGTTTGGAAGGTAATTTATATGGTCCTCTATTTTTATATTATTGTGTTCTGATGTCTGAACAATGTAAACTTACTCATGGACATGCTCTCTTTCTCTTCTAATAGATCCAGAACATCAGAGAGCTAATGGTAACTTAAAATATTTTGAATATATAATGGCTAAAGAGAAAGATGCCAATAAATCTACTTCAGATGACCAATCTGATCAGAAAACCACACCGAAGAAAAAAGGGGTTGCTGTGGATTACCTGCCCGAGAGACAGAAGTATGAAATGCTGTGCCGTGGGGAGGGTATCAAAATGGTAAAGTGGAAAAGCCAATTGTGTGTGTGTGAATGTGTGTGTATGTATGTGTTTGTACATAGTTCCAGAGAAAATCAAGTTCTTTTATAGTTAAGCCTGTGTGATAAAAATAATAATTACTGCATAAAGTATTACAGTGTGCTACATCGTCTTATTGTGGGTGTCACACTTAATATGCTCCAGCTGTTAGTAAAATAGCTTTAAAGTTAAGCTTGTGAATCATATACAATTACAGGCATTTTTGGTAATACTACCCTTTTCACAGATTAAAAGAGGCTCATTTTTTTTAAAGTGAAGGATCAGATTATTTAAGGGAATGATAAAGTTTTTTCTTATAGCTTACTTCAAAAGAGATTTCAGCAGTCTTAAGTAGAAATACTATACCATTCTGATCCATACTATTAAACATGGATTCATCTATTCAATAATCTCTTGTGGTTTTGCTGCTGGTCAACCTTGACAAGATTGCTTAGTGAATTGTTTTAGTCTATTTAAGAAATATTAAAAATGCAGAAAGACTTTCAGCAGATTTTGACTTTAACATTTATTCTTTTTTTGTTGTTTTTTATTAGTTTCAGGTGGACAAAGCATTGTAATAGTTAGACATTTATACCCCTGACAAAGTGACATTTATTCTTTATAATACTAAAATTTGTCTATAAACATCCTTTTGTTTATTGTATATTTATATGTATTTATAACTTAGGGTACTGGTGCTTTAGGATGTTAATAGATAATAGGCCCAAAACAAAAAAGTTCAAGTCTAGGGAACATAGGTTTTTGTTCAGCCTCAGGACTTTTCAGAGCCTTTTTATGATAATGTGCAATGTGGATATGATAGACATTGCTTCCCTACACTAACTGATAAGGGTATCCTATTTTCAAGAATATCGTGTGGTACTAGTTGAGCTGAATTCAGGCATATGTAGAAGGAAGTGGATTAGTGAGTTTTTGAAGTAAGTGCTTTTAAGAGTAAACATTTGAATAGCGTTTAACTTTTTCTCTGCTAATAATAAACTCAAGCTGGGCTTTGCATTTTGGTATTGATGACCTTTTGATATTTGATGATTTACTGTTGACAGCCAAACTCTAACAGCAAAGAAGTACATTGTATCTACGTTGACACTTTAGATAGCGAGATTCACAGAGTCCTGGAAGAACATGCCTACTTTTGTTTTGGGAACTATGAGTAAATACAAAGATAATGACATTTTGTTAGACTCATGAAACATTTTTAAAATATCACATCTAAATATTTTAGTATCTTTTGAAGATAAAGACTCTTAAAAAAATAATCACACCATTATCACTCCTAAAAAAATTCATAGTGATTTCATAATATCATCAAATATCTGGTTAAGTGTTCAAAGTTCCAATAGTAAGCACATATTTTTATTGCCTTTAATAACTCTTAAGGAAGAGAGCAAAATAGAACTCTAGGTTTAAAACATTAGTCTGCTAATTTGCCAGTTTGTTGGCGTGACACATACGTCATTCCTGCCCAAGATCAAAGGAACATCATTTTTCTCAAAATAAATTCATCTCATCATTATATAAAAGACATAGTTGATATAATGTCTTGGATTTGACTCTAGGTAAATAAAGTACATGGAGAATAAACATGAATCATGATTTGTTTTAGTATGTTAACTAATAAAAACAAAAACAAATATTACTACTGTATATATATATATATGTACTCATATTTATTTAATCAAGAGAAGAATCAGCATTGGAGTAACTTCAGTTAATATAACACATAGATGATTGAAAGAAACATTATTTGTTTTGTTGACCGCTCTATTTTTTTTTTTAAGATTTTATTGGGGAATCGGGGAAGGGGAACAGACAAGTTGCTGTCCTTTTGTTCTTCAGTCTAGTTGTGGAGGATGTTGCTTCACTGGCCCATGTTGGTATTATCATTGTGATCTTCCCAGTGAGGCAGTCGCTAGGCCGTCCAGCTCATGCTGGCTGCCAGCCACTCTCTGTAGCTCACAGCAGCCCACTGCAGCAGGGGCTACAGCCTAGCCGTCACTGGCGACTCTCAGCAGCCCAGCTCCAGGTCAAGCTGTTGTTCACCATCTTACCTGTAAAGGGCGCAGCGTCACTAGCCCTCATGTGGGATCTGAACTGGGGCCCTGCTGCTCAGAGCTGGCGTCCCAAGCCAACTCCTAACCAATGCGCCACTCTGCTGGCCCGTGACCACTCTATTTTTAATACCCACTAATAAATGCGCCTGGCTTCTTTGTTTAATAACTTATTTTCTCTTTTTCGGTGCTACCCATTTTCATTTTCACTTAAAAAAAAAAATTTTTTTTCTGCCCCAAACTTTTAACTGGAAGTGTTTTAGGAAAACCTGGTTAGTTTTTTTGTTTTTTGTTTTTTTAGAAACTTTCTCTTTCTGGGTGCTTCCCAGTTACTTTGTGGAATGTGGAGCAATGCTGGCCATTCATATTTCCATAAACATTTCATTATTTCTTTCGTACTTATAACATCTGAAATTTATTTAGATGAGAGAAGGGTTAAAAGAGAAATCTCATCTTTTTTCTTATTTAGGCCTATCAGCTCTCTTCCAGAAGTTATCATTAATAAAAATTTTCAAATTCCGAACATCCTGTTTGTTGCAAAATATTTGCGGAGAACCATTTTTATTGTGTTTTTTCATCCACAGATCCTCTCTGTATACACAAGCATGATTATTGTTTATTATCTCCATAGGAACAAGCATTAAAAATATTATACTCTAATATATTTATCATTTTCTTTATGTTTAGACTCCTCGGAGACAGAAAAAACTCTTTTGCCGCTACCATGACGGGAACCGGAATCCTAAATTTATTCTGGCTCCAGCCAAACAGGAGGATGAGTGGGACAAGCCTCGTATTATTCGCTTCCATGATATTATTTCTGATGCAGAAATTGAAATTGTCAAAGATCTAGCAAAGCCAAGGGTAAATAACTTTTTTCTTTTTTTCTCTCCTCAGTTTACTATACCTGTGTATCAGCTTTTTCTTTGCATGATTGCAGAAATGATCATTGATATGGCAATAACCCCACAGATAGTTTTAGATATTGTTGCTGCAACATAATGGAATTGTTAACTAAGCTCTGTTGATTCCATTTTTTCTCAGCTTGTTATCAACACTGCGTAACGTCCTGTAAATGGGTTTTAATCTCTTAATTATGAAAATCATAGATGAGATTTTTATTTCACACTTAACAAATTTGTGTTTCAGCATCTTCCTGAAAAAGTTTTCTATATACTTTGGAAACCTTTAATCTCAGAGACTAATCCAACACCAACTTTTTCATATGTTTTCTATTTTTTATCTGAAAGAATACTTGAAGTATTCTTATTCCCTTTTAGGCACATTATTACTAAAAAAATATAATTGAGCACAAGCATCATGCTAATTGGAAATAATAACATAGTTTTCTGACTTCAACCCACATCATTTATCTTAATAAGAAAAACAATTTAATGTAAACACAAACCTATCAACTTAGTGTTTAGTGTAGAAATTTTGTGTGTGTGAAAATGTGAGAAAGAATACCCTTTATACTCTTGCCTTTTTCCCCATCAGCTTGTTTTTAAAACCTATTTGGTATTATTGATGGTAAAATACTAACTGCCATCGCTTTCATAAAGAGATTGTTAAATGAACACTAGCTATATTTTTACTCACTACACAGGAGTTGGCGATTTTTTTCTGTAAAGGTCCAGATAGTAAATAATTTTTAGGCTTTTTGAAGGCCATATAGTCTGTCACAACCACTCAACTCTGTTGTTGTAGTGCAAAAGCATGCATAGAAACTACAAAAATGAGTTTGGCTATGTTCCAATAAAACTTTATTTCCAAAAGCAGATGGCAGTGAATTTGGCCCATGGGCTATAGTTTGCTGATCCTTTCTATATCATACAGGTTGAATTATCTAGATACCTGTATTACAAAATAAGCGTAAAGTTAGAATTTTTGTTTTTCTTAAGTTTTAATACTTTTCCAAATTTCTACTTCTTGTTTGTTTTTGTTGTTTTTTTTTTTTTTTACCAAAAACTACATTTTAAATGGAAAAGACAGGTCTAAAATATATGGGAGTTGTCCAAGGGAATTCTTATAAATCTCTACTTATAATTACATCATATTCTGTCATTCTCTTTTGGGTTCCTATTTCAGTCCATTATTTGTGGTCAATAAACCAAAACATCTTGGTAGAATATTTATTAAGAATTCATTTCAGCTTAGAGATCAAGTCTTACATATCTAGGTTTGGAAGCCAAAGTCTTCAAAGGGGATGCCTCAATTGGATTATTTTTATCAAGAGATTCAATGGCAATAAAAATTTCATACTTTTTGTTAACCTCAGAATCATCCTCCATGTTAAAAAAAGTTTAAAATCATTATCTCTGCTGTCATCTCTTTTGTACTGTTTTTTAACACTTGAGTTCATTTGCATTTGTTGTGCTCAGTCCAAGATTATTTCACTGTATATATGAAATATATAAGCAGATATATTGAAGGAAGAACAGATTGATTTTGAACATTAACCTTTGCAAAACAGTTGATCCATCACTAAAAAAAAAAAGAAAAAGAAAATCAAAAGTTTGTAATGTCTCATTAACTGCAAATAGCTATTCTTATAACTATAAATAGACTTCAAATTTTAGAAATTTCTCCTTTCTTCACAGTCACATCCTTTAACCATGGAAAAAATTAATTTTCAATCTGTTTTCTTTGTGTACCCTTCATTCATGCAAAACAAAACCAAAAATTTTTAAATAACTTTTAAAAAATACAAAAACTTAAAAAATACAAAAACCTAAAAAAACCAGTGGCTTTCAAAGCTCAACACAAGGTGACTGGAAGTCTATGGAGTTATTTTCTCTTTTCAGCCTCCATTGTAAAAATCCCAGAATTCTGACTGGTTGGATAAATGTGATTCATTTTTTTGTTTTGTAATGCAAGTATTTTGATGGTTGGCTTCACAGCTGAGGCGAGCCACCATTTCAAACCCAATAACAGGAGACTTGGAGACGGTACATTACAGAATTAGCAAAAGGTAAGAGATGTGTATGCTGCATATTTTGATCTCTAATGAGTGTTTTGTACATCCTACAGGAATTCTTCATTTAAAGGAAGTAGGTCATTTTCAGTCTCCAGCTCAAGTCACCGCCTATTTGTACACGCATGGACAAAGTGCTTTATGTTTCACAGGTCTTTCTCTTTAACTAGAAGTTCTGTTTTTAATCTTTAATTGGTCTGTTATTTTTAGGGCATTAATATGCTTTGCATCTCTGTTCAGGTCAGGAATTAAATATCCTGGAAATAGCTTGATACTTGTTTTCTTTTCCCTTTTTCTTGCCAAAGAGGAAAAAAAGAAAAAGACACAGCCTGGATTAACCTGGGAGTAGTCTTTGTTTGTGTAGCTCTCTCACACTCATAAGTGCTGTGGTGAATTCACGTCATCCTTCATGGGTGACTGTATTGGCATTTGTTCATACATCTTGTACAATACCGTTGTCATTTTGGAGTAATCTATACTCCTCCGGTTGGAGTTTATATTTAAAAAACTTGCTGACCTCAAAGTTGGCGATGGAAAGGACAGAGTTATGCTTCTGATCTGTCTTCCAACTGCTGTTACTTGTGAATTTTGTTGCCTTTTACTTTGCCAGAGAAACTTAACAGCAGTTTTGTCTTGTTGAGAGTTTAAAAAAATGAATTATTCTTTTATCAGAATATTTAAAGAACATTAAGCTTCTAGATCTGAGAAAGCTCCTGTGAAACCCAATTGCTATAAATCATTTACATCCAGCTTCAAATTTTTTTGTTTTAAAAAAAGTGAAAGGACAATAAATCTACAACAAAAATTTGTCAACTTGTTTTCTCTTGATTTGGAAGTGGCTTTTCTGATTGCCACCTTTCTAAATGTTTTTTGCTGATTTGAAACCATTACCTATCATCCAGTCCAATCTGAACCCTCCAATCACCTGTGGCTTGGCAAAACAAAACAAAACAAACAAAAGTCCAAAATTGCCTGCTACGTGAATAAGTCCTTGTCCTTTCTCTTTTTTTTTTTTTTGTAGCTGAGCCGAGCTACAGTACATGACCCTGAGACTGGAAAATTGACCACAGCACAGTACAGAGTATCTAAGAGGTAAGGGAGTAATGGAGAGAACTTTAGTCATATTTAGACCATTTTCTTTCTTGAGAATCTAATTTTTATAAAACCCATGATATGGCTTCAAAGATCTAGGCTATTAGGCATAGGTATTTGATGACAACCATGCCTGAATTTTCAAGATGGACTAATAAATAGACATGGTTATGGGGCATTTAATAGAGATTTCCAGAGTAATTTACTGGATTTCAAAATCCCTGCTGAGACTTCCCAAGCCCTATGAGCTAGCTGAAGTTATATTCTCCTACTGAAGTAAGAGAAGTTACCAAAGACCCTTCATAAAACAAGGCCTAACTTGGTCTCTATAATAAAGCATGGGTTTAAAAATCTCTGGGTTACCCAGTAGCTAGCTGTAAGTATTAAGAAAGTAAATACCTTCAAAGATTGCCTTTGCAAGTCAATTTGTTTCAAATTCTTTGTTTTTTTAACAATGTTTAAAGAGAATCTATTAACTGATAGATTACTGAAGTAATTTTTAACAGTTGATAACTATAATTTATGTATATAACATAGAAGGAGCTCACGGAATAAGTGACATGATTCCAACATAACTCCCATTCCATCTACTTATTTATGTAAAGGTTTTTCAGCACTCAGAAATGAAAATAGTAATATCATTGAGCTGAATTCAGTCTCATTCTAACAAAAAGTAATATTTATCCACATATATAATACCTAACTGAAAATAACAAAATAAGCCCCATCCATCTCATGAAGAACATTTTAATATGTTTTCACCTGTTATGTTTGATAATGATTGTTTAATCATGTTATTTAGGTTAACTGTTCTATTAATAATTGTAGTAACTCATCCCAGAAGACATTATTTTAACACTTAGACCTTTATGTTATAGGAAATTTATATTTTTATCAATTTATATAAATACTTTTATTGTACGTAAGTATAGTATGATGAAAAAAGACTTTTAGGCATAGAAATATGTTACTCTAGGACAGAGCTTCTCAACCTCAGCACTATTGACAATTTGGATCAGATAATTCTTTGTTGTTGGGAGATGTCTCGAGGTCTGTAGGATGTTTAACCACATCTCTGGTACCCACTAGATGCCAGTAGCACTCTTTACTCCATTTGTCACAATCAAAAATGTCCCCTCGTATGCAAAATCTTCACCACCTCCTCAGGGACTCCACTTCTCCACCCCCATTGAGAACCACTGTTCTAGGATAAGAATGGAATGAAAATGCAAGCTTAAAGTGGCGGGGAGTGGGGGCTGGGGGTGGGGGGACATTTAAAATTTCCAAGTATTAAAAAATACTTTGTTCATGTATTTTTTTTTAAGTGATTGATGGTGGGCATTATTGTGGTAGAGTCCACTGGATACATTAAAAAAGTAATCATTTTTCAGAAATTACCACTATTTTTAGTGTGACAGAATTAAATCCTTGGAAACTATTATGTTAAAAATATTTAATTGTCAACTAGAAAATTATGCAAAGGAGCACATAGATTTTAACAACTATTTTAGGAGGTACTCGAACAAAAAAAATTGAATATTACTGCTGTCAGTCATAGCAAAACTAGATTATGTTGATTTGTTTCTTTATTCTTTTTGGGCAAAGCTATATGTCTTCTATATATGAACCTTCAACATCTCCCTGGTTTCTTAATTGCCCTTACCACTACCTTCTCCCTTGCCGCAGTTAGAAGACATAAGGAAAATTAAACTTGCTATAATTTTGATTCAGGAACACAAATAGTAGATGGTAAGGATTTACAAAAACTAATTTGTTTAGATATATTTTGAGACATGATTTATACTGCTTCTGTGAATTGTAATTAACTCTAATTTTAAGTTAAGCTTAAGCTAATTTTCCATTTTATTACAGAACCTTATTCATGTCTAAAAAAATTAACCCTTATCTATTTTTAAAAAAAATAACTTTAGCCATTACATATTTTATCAGAGATTATTGCATGATTGTAGGCATTTTCACTGCCATAAGGCTTGTAGTATCTAAATTCTCCAGATTTCCATACTTTTAGGAAGCATATAAAACAAAAATTCGTGAACTCTGTGTTTTGGAAGTCATTTTTGGAAATTTTCTATTATACAATGGACTTTTTGAAGAAACAGCCAGCCCACAGAGTCACTGGACTCTTACCAACAAGTCAAAATAAATTACTCTTGGAAAGGTGACCTATAAACATTTTTTCCCTTAAGAACTAAGTATTTCTAAACATTTTGAACTTATTTTTTAAATATTCTAATTTTGTAGCTCTAAGAAGCAATTTTATTAGATTTTTAAGAAAGGCACAACCATATTTTATATTTTATATAGCAGAAGACATTTAGCAAGTTAGCATTAGAAGACTGAGTAACACCAAAATAAACTCACCCAGTCTTGGCAACATGCAGAGTGTGTGTGTTTCTGTTCAAAACAGCCTAGTAAAAAAGGAATTCCACAGCACAATGATTTTCATCTTTACTCTTAGGAAAATTGTTCAGCAACCCTTTTAAAAATAAAATATATATGTTGAAAAAGAGGGTCTTAACTGTTAAAGGAATTTGCCCCATAAAATATCCAGTACATTTCACATTTTAACAAAGAAAAAGTTTTTACTATTTTGGGAATTTAATAGCTATGTCTAGATACTATCTACCCATCACTGTAAATCTGAATTTTCAAGATTCCTAAAGTGAAATAAATGAGTGTTTTTATGTTTCCTTCATATATTATTCATCTGAAAAAGGCATCTAAAATGCAAAATAAAAGAAACAAATCATGCGTATTGTTAATGTAATCCCTTTTGCTTTGGGACCATCTGTATTTTGAAAGGATCAGAAGGGAATTTCAAATATCTGTATTTTGAGAAATTTCTAAGTGATTGCATCATCTCTGGAAGTAAAAATGTTTCAGTGTTCAAGCAAACAGAATTTTCTTTGGGCAAAGTATGTGTGGGAATCCATTATTGTTTAAAAAACGCGAAGTTTTTATTTACTTTATTGACTGAACTTTTGGCAAGTCATCTCTGCCTTTTCCAATATTAAAAAAAACAAACTAAAAATTTACTACAGCTAGCTAATGGAGGAGCTAATACTTTTGGCTAAGTCAGAGAAATGGAATATTAGTTTTTGAAAGGTAAATATTCAGTTATGTGCACTGAAAAGACAGTTTAGTTATGTGAGCTCATGAAGTCCAGTTAAAGTAATATAAATGAAATATGCAAATAAACAATTTAGTGTGGTAGAAAAAGCTTCTTTGATTCTAATGGGTTATTCTTGGAAGTGGTTTTAATTTTTCTTACTCTGAAGTATGGATTTCCTACAATTGGATCTTTTATTATGCGTTAGATTGAATTTGCCCACATTAGTAAGGAGCAAATACAGTGTAAAAGTGTATTAATATTTTTACAACATAGAGGTAAATACAGATAGCTTTGAATGATTTCAGATATATTTTTAAATTGGAATAACTTTTAACAACAGCATTGCCTTCTATTGGGTTGCTTGGTTCTCAGATTGCGATAACTGAAATGGACAGATCTATAGTATAATATTATTGTATAATTGTCCCCCTGAAAACCAAAGGGAACAGATAAATTCTCAATCTAGGTGATTAGCCTTTCTTTGTTAACCATCAAGCACTTAGAGAAAAAATTTTGAAAGTTTTGACCTCTGTAACTGGCACTTTGGGCCCTGAGTCGTCTTTTGCTTTTGCAAAAAATCACATGGTAGTTTTATTTACATTAGCTGATTGTAGATATTAATTTTGACATATGTTGAGTTAGAAGAAGATAGCGATAGTATTCAGATTATATCACTCACATTTTCCTTTGGAGGTTTTGTAACAGTCTCCAAAACCTCCAAATGGTACATTGTCTTTCTGTTTTCTTGAGCATGCCTTCCTTACTAATGTATTAGAAATACAGTCATGCAGTGTGAGACTGTTACTCCATACTCAAATAAAGCATTCCAATGAGACTTTTAAAAATGTTACTTTGAAAGAATAATACAGATTTTTGTAACAGTAGAAACTCATTAGAAAGGGAAAAGTTGAAATGTTACTCTCAATTTGAATGTAAACTTAGCTCTCAGGTTCCTGTCATTAAGACCAAAAGGAAGATATTTGGGTTATCTTGTTATTAATGGAAAAAAGGGACACATATAAAATTATCTGGAGAAAGAGTTCTGTTTTGCTCCTGGCACAAAATTATGTTTTATGGGGAAAAAAACTAGAACTTAGTTGACATTTTCAACTATAGTTGTACAAAAGGTAAGATGTTCTTCAAATGTTTTTTCCTGTTACAGTAAATGCTGTGACTTTACATTCTAACTCAGCTAAAACACTGAGTACTAGAAGAACCTTGATTTCTGATGATTTAATTTAATACGGGAATAAGACTTCCAGATCCTAGAGAATAGATAGTTAATATATATTACAGTGTCATTGTCTCCATTGAATTTTTCGCAGTGTCACAACAGTGTAAATTCAGAGCTAATTTCTTAGACTACCTGATAGGTCTACAGTAATGTTGCTGAAGACAGATTTGCAGTAATGGTTTAAGGAAGGAATCCAGATGAATAAAATGTTTCAAATGTATGCAGTTCTTCAGCTAAGAAGATTCTTATATTTTGAAGAGGTTTTTCACATGAAAGTCAAATGAAGCAAAATAACTTCTCATGCATCAGTAGAATTCATTTTCCTTTTTAGCGACTATAACAGAACCACAGTTAAGATAACAGAGCAGTTTTTTAAATGTGCAATCATCAATTAATTTAACTGCTAAGCTTCAAACCTTCCATCGAGATCATTTTTGATATAATAATAAGTGCAAATTAAAACTTTTTAAAATTTAAACAATTAAAATATTTTTGCCTCTAAGATTGGCAAAGATTAAAAAGATTGATACTGGCAAAGATTTTCTGAAATGGGCACTCATAATCAGTTGGTAGGAGCATAAATCTGCAACTTTTTTGGAGGGCAGTTTGACATTATTTATCAAAATGTAAAAG